ACTTTGTTCTACTTCAGCCATAAAATAAGTCCAGTAGGAAAAAAGAAGAAAGGTTAATTCTTTTGAGATAGATCAGAGATGGCTTCTCCAAAAAGGTGACTTTTCACCTAATTTATATTCCATTGGCAGAATCCATTCAGCTTATTTAGTGCTGTGCTAAGCATTCTCAAATACTTTATTTGTCTCATTCAGTTCTGTTCAAACCATTTTGCAAGCCCATCCTCTGCCAGGCCTAGTGCTAGAGGCACCAAGGTAGTAAATCAGGACAAGCATCTGTCCTTAACTTGGAGTCTCTGAGGGGAGACAGACACATAAACAGGCTATAATAGTGCAGTTTGGTCAATACTATTTATAACCCAGGAAACTTCTATATAATTATATCCCTGTTCTAACCTTGTTTCTGTTCATATTCTGTAGATTCCCCAAGATGTCAACCTCAGTTCCTCAAGGCCATAACTGGACCCGACAGGTGAAGAAGGAAAATGAGGAAGAGGACCCGCTGGACCAGCTCATCTCCCGCTCTGGCTGTGCTGCCTCCCACTTTGCCGTGCAGGAGTGCATGGCCGAGCACCAGGACTGGCGGCAGTGCCAGCCACAGGTGCAGGCCTTCAGGGACTGCATGAATGAGCAGCAGGCAAGGCGGCGGGAGGAGCTACAGAGGAGGAAAGAGCAAGCAAATGCCCACCACTGAGACCCCAAACCACCAGTCCCCAGGAGATGGCCACGTAGAAACCAGCACCCAAAGACACCATGGGAAGAAGACCTAAACGGTGGACATAATGGGCCAGGAGGTATAAAACCTGGGGATGGTCTTTGGGACTGGAGTTGTTAAAAGCCAGACACCCTGGGTTTGGACAGAACTGCCACAAAGATCTGTTATATTTTCATGGTCAGATCCCACATATCCTCATCCATCTTGTTCCACCAGTATTTGCCATGTAAAACAAAATGGGGTAGGGCATGTGCCCATCTCAGTACTTGGGTGTGCCAACCACTCAGTGTACTGAATACAGGGACATTTTAATTTCAAAGTAAATTCACAATATAAAGTTATATTGGTTACCGAATTAGATCTTTGTTTATTTGCTCATGGGTTCAACAACAGCAAATATTTCTGAGGCATTGTGTTGGAAACTGATGTGATGAATAGTGTGATATGACCTCTGCCTTCATGTTGATTAGAGTCTAGTTTGAGAGATAGTAATAAAACAACACTGGAACAACTAGCTCCTCATAATGATATGAGTGCTTTTATCTTTTATATCACTTGTTCTGGATGTTTCATTCAGTTTAATGGAAAGAAGAAAGCAAGCAAGAAAACTTTTTATTCAAATATTGAAGTACCATTTATATGCCACATTCTGTTGAATTAACAGGTGCAGAGTCTGGCCTCAACCTGCTCCCACCCCAACAAGCACAAAGTTGGCCTAACATTTTAAAAGTATATTTTACATTAAAATACAGATTTTCAGCTTTTGAAAAATGGAGCTGTCAACATGGAGCTTTTATTCCCACTTGACAACAATTTGCTGGAGTTGAATAATAGTTCCTCCTTTAAGAGAGTTGTGTTTTCCTGTTCATAACAGTTGCCCTCACTTCTCATTTTTCTTCACATTCCATTCCTGCTTACCCCTGTGAGGCATTTGGGAGGTGGGGGTTGGGGGGAGTGATCCCTATCGTAGAAGTTGGAATGAAAAGGGGACATTCTCTCATCATCAGTCAGAAACTTTTTTTTTTCCTAATTGAGACAGGGTCTCACTCTGTTGCTTGGGCTAGGGTGCACTGGCATCATCACAGCTCACTGCAACCTCAAATTCCTGGGCTCAGGTGATCCTCCTGCCTCAGCCTCCCAAGTAGCTGGGACTAAAGGTGCACGCCCATGCCTGGCTGATTTTTTTCTTTCTATTTTAGTAGAGACGGGGTCTCGCTCTTGCTCAGGCTGGTCTTGAACTCCTGGCCTCAAGCAATCCTCTTGCCTCAGCCTCTTAAAGTTCCAGGATTACAGGAGTGAGCCACTGCACCAGGCCTAGAAACATTTTTAAATCTTCTTTGTTGTTATACCTATTATCTTCTTTTTTAATTTTTTACTCACCACAATACTGAGGATTTTTTTTTCTCTATTTTCCCCTAACTCCTGTGTTGTTCAACAGACATTTTTGAGCACCTATTAGAAGCCCAAATCTGAAGTATAGTAGGCCCTAAAATCTACTTTGAGCCTTTGTGCTGGTATTTGGGGAAGAGGGAAAGAAAAAAGGAGATATGAAGAGTTTAACCAACAAAATCCTCTTTCAGCCTTCAGGCTGAAGGAGATGACCAGGTAAGTATAGAAAGATGCGTCTCTGTGAGTGCTTAGTGCTGTGGGTCATCAGAGGGAGCCGGCAGTGTGCACTGGAGTTGTCAGCAAGGGTCTCAAGAGTTGAGCCTTTAAAGATGAAGCAGACATGATCCATTTGTAACATATAACAGGATTACCATCCAGAATAAATAAAAAGTGTACCTAGAAGTCAGTAAAAAAAACACATAGCTTGATTGAAAAGTGAACAGATATGCCCCAAAATAGGAAAATGTAAATATGTTCTACATCACAGATAAACAGAGAAATGTGGGGTTTAAAAACAAAGTATTAGCTGATTCTACTGATAAAAATTAGAAGTATTTATAATAACCAGTATTGGTAAGGATGAGGAGAAACAGGCACACTCATATTATTAAAGGGATCATAAATTAGTAAAGTTTTAGAGGGCAATTTGGTGGGATCTATTAATATTTTCAGTATTCAAGCAGTAATTCCTCTTTCAGGGATCCTCTCAGAAATATACTTTGTTCTACTTCAGCCATAAAATAAGTCCAGTAGGAAAAAAGAAGAAAGGTTAATTCTTTTGAGATAGATCAGAGATGGCTTCTCCAAAAAGGTGACTTTTCACCTAATTTATATTCCATTGGCAGAATCCATTCAGCTTATTTAGTGCTGTGCTAAGCATTCTCAAATACTTTATTTGTCTCATTCAGTTCTGTTCAAGGAGTTCAAGGCTGCAGTGAGCTATGATCATGACACTACTCCAGCCTGGGTGACAGAGCAAGACCCAGTCTCAAAAAAAAAAAAAATAATTAATTAATTAATCTCAAATGAATGGTTTGGTGTGTATTCCCAATTAAGATGTCAGCTTCTCGCAGAGCAGGAACCACCACTTATGTTCAGAGTACACATCTGAGCTCCCCCTGCATCTAGTACAGGGCCTAAGCATTGTAAGTGTTACATTGTTTCCTGAACAGAATCGTCCAATATGCCTAATACAGCAGTAGGGGTCTAGGAGGACACAAAGATTCCATCACACACAGAAAGTGATGGTTGAGTACTGGGACTTGCAAATAACTGATGACCAAGAAATATTTGCTAAATGACTACTTGGCCAAGAGTCTTCCTGCCTCCCAGTTTCCCTGTTTTTCTCCAACTGACTGATCCTAGTTCTGACGCGGGGATTACACAGCGCTTGGCTTCCGGATAGCTGTTCGGAGGATGAAAAACAATGACCATATGGGTTTGAGACTTCTTTTTCAAGGCGCTGTACGCTCCACCTCCTCGACAATTGATGAAGTAACCCCTGTGGACATGCTGGATCAGGCATAGCTATTCTTAACTGAAAGGCAACATCCGCTACCCGCCTGCTGTGTCCCTGTTCCGGGCCTAGCTTCACCTGAGGGCTTGGGCCCAGTCGCTCTGAATCCTCAAAGGCGCCGCCATCTCCACCCCACCTCGGCCAGCCCGTCTCTTCCGCCCCTTCCCGGAAGTGGGTTCCTCAAAAGCGTGCGGCGAGGACGGAGGGAGGGCTCTACACTTGGAAGCCACCAATGAAAATGTGCGATGACTTCCTCCGCCCCTGGAGTGTGTGCGCTCCTCAGGAGGGGCTGGTTCCTGGGAGGAAGCACGGAAGAACCCCTGCTGCTGTGTGCCTGCGAAGCCGCCGCTGCCGCTCAGGAGAGGGCGTTCGGTTTGTCTTCTCCCCCCTCTGCTCTGTGAGCACCGTGTTCCGCGACCTTGCGCGGGGAGAGATTGCGTTTGGCGGCTGCGTAGACGCATGCGTCCTCTGGCCACCTGCATCTCTCTGCTTTCTGCTCTTTCCTTGCCTTCCTAGTCCGGTCCATTCTCCACCGTCCTGCTGCCAGCCGTCTAGCCTGCCCTGATCTCTGAGCAGGGGTGGTCCTCGTTTTACTCCAAGGGGGACTGAAGCCAGGAGATCGTGGGAGAAGAGTACAGTAGCAATTACTGAGTCCTGTTGTAGCCCACTCAGTTTTCATTTATTATGTTAATCCTTATTCTAATTGTCCGAGTTAAATATCGGTGGGGAAGCTAAAATGAAAAAGATTTCATGGTAAGGCGTAGGGCTGGGATTCGAACCCAGATCTCTTGGCTTAGGATCCAAGGCGCTTTCCATTCACCTTTCTTGCTCTAAAAGATTTGCTCCTGGCCTTTAAAGAGTTCGTAGGTATTTAGGAAGAGGAAACTGTCATTGATTGAACTCTTTGAACTTACCAGGCTCCTTACAAACTTTATCATCTCTATTTTTCAAGAGAGGTTATAAAGGGACTTGCCCAAGGGCACCCAATGAGGCAGTGGCAAAGCGAGGTTTCCAATCCAAGGCTGTTTCAAAGCCCATTTTTTCTCTCTTCAATTATACTGCCTCCAAAGCATGTGAGCTTTATGCAGGGCTACAGAGTGTTTAAATTTCTCTGACAACTTCCCCATTGTCCTCGGGATAAAAGTCCTTAACATGTCCTGCAAAGCCTTGTTATGATCAGACACTTATATCACCAGTTTAATTTGTTGTCTTGTTCTCATATTCTATTCTCCAATCACTGAACTTTTTATTCCTCTCGTGTGTCAAATTCTATCTCAACCCCCTGCTCTTCTATTGGTCAGAAATATTCTTACAATCTCTGGCTAATTCCTATTTATCCTTCAAGTCTCAGTTTAGAAATTACTTCCTCTAGGAAGCCTTCCCTGTTCTTGTCTGGATTAGGTATCCCTTCACTGTGTTCCCAGTCTTACCTATCTGTACACACTGTGTAGTATACTGCCCTGTTTCTCTGTTTTTTAATTTTTTTTCTTTTCTTTTTTTTCCTGCACTTCTCCACCACCGCTGTTTCCCTGTTTAGATTGTAAACTCCATGAAGGCAGGAACTGTAGCTGATTTGGTCCCCCCCTGAGTCCTGAGCTTGAGCATAGTGCGTGATGCATAATAGGTGCTCAATAATCATTTGTGGAATGAATGAGAGACAAAGTAAAGGCATTAAGGAGTCCTTTTAGCTTCTCTACAGTATTTCACGTGCAAAGGCCAAAGTCATTTTTCTTCAAACCTTTTTTAAGTTCCTTCTGTATGCTACCTTCTACTGGTGCTCTGAAACAGAGGATCTTGGGAAGACAGTCTGGGTAAACATACCTCACATTTTTGTATAGTTGTCAAAGTTACCTCACTTACTTCATGGACTCATCTGTTTCCCTAGCCTCTGCATGCTCTATATTACAGCCACACTGAACTCTTTCCATTCCTCCCATGTGTCAAAACCTAGCCTTATTTGGGTACTTTTTCAAGTTTTAAACTTTGTTCTACTTCAGCCATAAAATAAGTCCAGTAGGAAAAAAGAAGAAAGGTTAATTCTTTTGAGATAGATCAGAGATGGCTTCTCCAAAAAG